GTTCAAACATTTTTTTTTCAGTGCTAGAAATCATATGAGAACACTACAAATTTCAACTGGAGTGAAAAAGAGCAAGGGCACAGTAAAAGTATGCTCTTTGGAGTCGGGCGATAGAGTCCATGCACTATTAACAACTGATTCTCCAAAACCTATTATGTGAAAAAATCCAAACACACAGAAGGACACTTTTCATATTCCCAGTGAGAAACTTGCAGGCAATACTCAGCTGTGAAGGCGCCGACAGTGAGCTCAGCATCGTGTAAGCCTCACAGAGAGGGCAAAGGTTTTGTGAACTGGAGTTGCTTTGTGGACTGGCACTGGAGTGCCAGTTACTGAGGCGGTAGTTAGTTTTCAATCTGCTGGTGTAGACAGTATCTGACACTGGCCTAGCAGCGACTGACTCTGGAAGAAGCTGGCAAGGAAGCGTCTGCATTACAGGGCTGCCCTGCAGTGGGGCTAAAAGCATGATCTTCAAGATTAAGATGAGATCGGAGGCAAGCAGAGAGCACTTATAAGGACACCATCCTAACGCAATGTGGTGTGCAGCTACCCCAGGATCTGCTGGCTTTCCTGGGAAAGGGCTAGCTAAGTAACTTTTTCAGTTGTTAATTTTGTTAATGCTAATTATGAAAACCAGAAGTAATGACTGAAGCACCACCAAATCATGGCCACGTGGAAGGCCTTTCTTTGATGTTCTTAAGGTACAGTACCTTTTACCATCAGCAGTTAGTGAACAAAAACAAAGGCAGTGTCACCTAAAGAAATTTGGCAATATCAGAATATGAAGGGAAAAAAATTGCCATGGGTGATGATCACTAAAAAAGAAACCTGCAAATGATTTTGTTTCTTTCAGGAATGTAATTTCTGCTCATTCCAGTTAAATTTTAAGACATGTTTTCAGGGAATGTCAAAAAGTTCGCATTGGTTCAGGTAACCCCATGCGGAAGGGTCCGTCCCTGGCGCGCCGGGTAGAGACGGTACTCCCCCACTGTGTTTCTCTCAGTCCACAGCCACTACTGATTGAAGGCTTAATGGCACTCCACATTTTGTGCTCTGCAGTCTGAAGCTTAAGTGGGTGTGGCTTGGCTTCCTTTCCTCTTACAGTAAGTGTGTGCTTTTAAACTTGCTTTTGGGAACAGAGCTTCCTGAACAACAGCTGTTCTCCAGAATGAGGGCGGCCAGAATATACAGAATGTAGCTCAAATACTGGACACTCAAACCATGCTGGATAAACACTGATAATTTTAAGATGCAGTATCCCTTTTTGAGAGCAGTATCACTCCCCCAGATTTAAAGGGGGGGGGGCAAAGCAAAACATGCAATAGTAGAGCAAGTTTTTAAAAAATAAGGTCTAGAGTCATATACAATTGTGAGAAAAAAATGGTTCTGAAAAACATCACACTTCAGCCTTTTGCAGTTTCATTATCAATGACAGTTATAAAAAGTGATGGACAACCACACAGGCGAAGGCCACAAGCAGTGGTGTCATCACTAAGGGCTATTTCCCCCCAATTTTAATATTTAGTAACTGGAGTGAATGGAATTATGGGTACTTACATTATCAACCCATTTATGCATGCATATACAGTACTTTGTTTGCTTTCAATTTCAGGGCTTCTTTCTTACTGGCCCTTAAAAATGACACAAAATCCTCTCTGAAATCCTCTGGGCCTTCAGCTCTCAGCTGGCCAACTGATCGTACACTGTCAGGTATCGATGGGCTCGATCCAGGTTACTGGCTAAGAGGCCCGCTCTGCAGCTTTAGGTGCAGGACACGTTTCACTCTAATCTGTGTACAGGATCCAAAGCAGATCCGGCTGTTCTGCCATAGTCTTTGAGAAAGAATAAGGAGGGAGGAAATAACAGGGCCAGTGGATTCCATTAATGGCATACCTCCTTTAATATATCTTCTGTGATATGAGTAAATACAGGAGTCAGATTTCCCCATTCCAAATACAACTGAATCATTTTGGGAAAGGTAGGTCCAGAGAAGTCATCTGTAAAGTCATTTGCTGTAATTGCTAATCTACGGAAAAATGCATGACCAACTTAACTCACTGTTATTGTTCTTTCTACACTTGTATTTGTGGTAATTCAGCAATTAAAACTGTCATTTTCCTAGCTACACCTGGGCTAAAAACAAGGGGCCGTGGGGCAGTGACCTGTATACACAAAGACAGAAAGTTTTCTGAGTGGGGAATGGCAACTAAAACACATAAAAAGCATGTTGCTGATTCATTCAGTAGGGACGCATCCTCTGCATTGTGAGAAATCGAGAAAGTAATAATCCTAAAGAGAAAAGAATCTGTTCCAGAGTAAAATAAATTAGCATACAAGCCACTGCATTACTTAATTTGCTGTTGCTGATGCTGTTTGGCTTACTGCAGGGATACTGCACCTTTCCCTCTGCTCTTACCGCACCACCAGGCAAGCTACACAGAGTTTGGAAGGGCCTATGCAGTCGTCATGGCAGAAGGCCCCGCAGCCTTTGCACACAATCATGGCTTTCAGCCTGCAAGAGCATCGCAGTTCCAACTCGTCCGCGTTGCTGCCGTCGGCAAAGTTCTGAACGGGCATCTGAGCATTCTGACCTGGCAGGCCCGTGGCGGGGCTGGAGCCACTTCCCAAAATCCCAATGGACTTTTCAATCGCAGACGCCGCTCTTTTGAAGCTTGTGCTGCCAAAGTGTATTGTTGGGTAATTTCCACAGAGCTGCTGTTGCTGCTGCACCTGCATTTTCTGAGCAGCTAATTGAGTAAACGGCTTCTGTGGCTCAGAAAGCAGATAGGAAGAGAAATCTGCATTTTTTAGCGCAAATGCTTTTAACTGTTCTTTCATTTCATTCTGGTCATAGGAAACTTGTTTCATGCCCAGTTCACAGCTGCTGCTTAAACCTTCCTCAAAAGAAAGAGGTTCCGATTTTATATTGCTACATATGCCCGTGGACTGTGGCCAACTAAGTCTCTTGGTGGTTTCCATGGAAACTGGTGGTTGCTTTTGATCGGATGGGACTTCCACATTAGGGAGAGGTGGAGGTAGTGGAGGGGGTGGTGGTGGGGGAGGTGGGGGCAAGGCCAAGGGTGGAGGGGGTGGAGGAGGAGGGGGAGGCGGTGGTGGAGGCAGTGGAGGATGTGCTAGTGCTTTGTTGGACATTGTGTGCACAGTGCCTCCCACTTCGTCACCTTCTTTTATGGGCATGTTAGGGGACAACATGTTGGCTAGCTTCAGCTGGTGAGGTGCTGAAGGTAGACTACCCTCTCCCAGTCCCTTCTGTTCAAGATGCCTATTGAAGGCAAATGCATTACAGCCCGCTGGGGTCTTGGAAGGTGTCTGCAGTAGCGCTGCAGTGGGCATGGGACCCCTGGCAGCCAAGGGCATTTGGTAAAACTGCTGTCTGTGTGAGGTACCAGCATCTGTGTGGAAGCCGCCATTTTTATCCACATGAAACAAGCTCTGCTGGAAGCTGCAGGCAGGGAGCAGCCGCTTTTGCTGTTTGACCTCAGGGCTGTGCACGATTCTGCTCTGCATAGAGTGCTTGTTCAGCCACTCTTGCTTAAACGGCTGGCTGTGTCCTAACTGGCTAATGCCAGAACTGATGACACATGGCACCCCTTTCACATCCGGGTCCACAGACAGTTTCCCTGGTTCACACTTAATTTGAGTGTGCTCCCCCACAGCCCTGGCTACTCTCTTCTTGGGGTGGTTTTCTCGTTTTCTCATCTGTGGTGGCACAAGTGTCCCTGCCAAGTACCCCTTGCCGTCTGGATTTGGAGAGCTGGACGGCATTTCGGCAATGTTCCTCTCTGGTGCTGTTTTACCCACTGAGGTAGCTTGAAGGGGCAGAGGAAGCCTGTTGATTTCCAGCTTGGCTCCCAACCTGGGCTGCGGCAACACTTTTTCCAAAGGCAAGTTGCCCTGCAATAACTGAGTCACCAGTGGGTTGTTAGCCTCCACGGATGACAGGCGACAGCTTGAGCTTCCTGCACTCCCAACTCTTTTCAAGGTGTCTGGAGTGGAGGAAATGGCCTCTTCCATGGGACTGGAGGTGGAAGCTTTTATGTTCTGCATTTGTTGCACACTGGAGACCACTTCTGGAGCTGGGGGTGGCAGATCAGGGCCAGGGAAATCTTCGGTTTCCATTCTAAAGCCCTTTTCTACTTCATGAGGTTCAGACTTTACTGGAAGACTGACACTGGCTATGAGATTTCTGGGGTGAAGTTCTGACACTTGGGAGTAGCTGGTGTGCTCAGTTTTGATGGCCTTTGGGCAGCTCTGCTCTGGGTAGTCTTTCTGTTTACTTGAGCCTGAATGACTAACCAGAGTCTGTCCTGTGCTTCTTGTAACATCATCGTTCCAGCAAATCCGGTTTCCTGGGTTATACTGATTGCTACAGGCTATGTCTGCTTCACTTTTGAAAGTAGCTGGGTTACATGACTGCTCAGCAAAGCTATGGCTAGAAGCAGTCACCTCATTTAATTTATCTGGAACAAGGGGTATTTCTCGGAGACTGGCACAGGGGGCCTGCAAGGTTTTACAGTCTTGTTTGGCTACAGAGGGAACAATGAAACTAGAACTGTGATCTAGGCTTTCAGTGGCCACCGGCTCCGGCCTGCTAATGACAGACACCTGAGGACACGTCATGGGCTGGATAGATACTTCTGTCCTCACAGACCTGCTCTGGAGGTCCAAGCTGGCTTCTGTACTTTCAATGGAGACAGTCAGAGACAAGCTGGAGGTCAGTGTGGTGCTGTGGTCAACAATGACTTTACAGGGAATCGATCTGTTTATGGCTGCTGGTGCAAAGCCCCCTGGTGCCTGCTGAAGTTTCCCAGAATTGTCCGCCCTGTTTCGAAGCCCTGAATTTCTGTCCAAGCTTTCAGCACTTAACTTGGGAGGACTCTCATACGAGCTTATAGTTAGCGTGTTTCCAGTAAACATTGTGATGGGTGGGCGCGCAATCAGAGAGTCGGTGACTGCTGCTGAGTCGCTGCAGCTGAGGGCTGCTCTCACAGTGGTACCCACGGAGACAGGGGCCTGTTCTTCACTCCCAGGCATGGCTATCTTCTCAGAAGGAAATCTGTTGCTAACTCCCGTTGGGGGAATCAAGACCGAGCTAGTGGAGAGATGGTTTGGCAAGTTATTTCCAATAGAGGGAGTTGGCACAGGGGTGTAGTGACTGGAGACTAAGTTAGTAGCGCTGCTGCTTGGCACTAGCAGCGGCTTATCATCCATGGGGCTCGACATGCCGGCGCCCTCTGTAGTGGCCAGGATAGGAGTGCTTTCAATACATTTTGGTATAATGGCTATGCATGGAGTGTCAGTTCCCTGGATGGTTTTTAACATGCTTATATTACAAGCAGAAATTGTAGTGTTTGCACTGTCAACAGACATTAGAACAGAGGATTTGTCAACAGAACTCACAAAGGGATGTTCTTTAATTGCTGCCGACATAGCAGTGCTGCAAACAGACACAGGGACAGAATTTTTATTAAAAAGCATGGGCACACTGCTACTTTCAGAAGAGGTAGATGAAACAATTTTCTCGGATAAATGTGACACGGGTATGTTTTCATCAGAACTATGCACAGGTAAGTCAGTAGCAGTTTCTGGAAGCTGGGCAGGGTTAAGAGACGGCTGTAGTGCAGTGGTGGTCTCCCGGAGGTGTGCAGACTTGTTGCTAGGAGATCTGCAGTTTGGATTGACGATAATGACACCAGTGGAACCTTCTATTTTTGTTTCAGGGGTAGAAGAGACTTCCAAGTTGGGAGGCCCTTCCTTGGAGCTGAGAGAAGGTAAGCGCGTCTCCTTAGAGGTCTGGAAGAGGTGGGCTCGTGCTTGGTGCTTTGCAAAGAGCTTAGCCTTGGTCTGCTCCTTGATGTGTGCCAGGGTTCTCGCCTTCCCACCCTCTCCCGGGCTCCCCATGGCTCCAGTGACAATGCTCGCCGCGGCAGCGACAGCAGCGGCTGCAGCAGCCTCACGCTGGGCACGGGCTTGCTGGGCGCGAGCCTTGATGTCTGCGAGGGTCCTGGCTCCTGTGTTTCTCCCCCCGCTGACCGATGTGCTGCTACTGGATGCTCGAGACTCTGGTTTGGAGACTGGTTGACTCTTGATGATAAAAGGTGGTCCAATTTTGGAAAGCTGGATCTACAAGAGGAGAGGATGGAAAGATTAAAGTATTTCATATGTACCTGCAGGGGAGGCACATAGGATGCTGTAACACAGGAGAATTCTCTCATCGTGTGGAACGAACCATAGCACTTTAACAGGTGTTGAGGACAGAAAGCAATAAATACAGCAAGAATGTGAAAATTAAGGTTTTAATCTATAAAAAAAAATCAAAAGGCAAATTCACTTGCCTAGGCATAAAGTATCTTAATGCTTTATGATATAAATGGGAACCAAATCTATGCTTTTTAAAATTTATTTAGCAAAAAGGCCTCAGAAATACTTCATTTGCAAATTCTCCTTAGTGGAATACAAAAAAAAAAAGAAAGAAAAAGA